ATTTTCTGTGGGGTATGAAATGACTGCCCTAAACTTTGTCACATGCTGTTTGAGACTGAGAACTATATGCTTACAATTTCAGTCACTGACTTCTTTGTTGTTTTAGCAAATATCTGGTTGTTAGCCAATGCCATGTGGCTGATAGACATTTTGCTCTCCGTACTTGGGAAGTATTATCTTTAAGTCAGGCACCTCTGATTTGATTCCCCACTTTTGAAAATAGCTTTTCCCTTTTTTTTAAATGTCAGGGCCACTCTGTCTAAGGGTCAGGCTCACACTGATTTAGAGTGGGTAAGAAACTGTGCAGGAGCTTATAGTTCTTTTGTCATCAGTTTTGCCTCTTTCCTATTTTCCCTCCCTCTTGCTAGTTCTTTAACTCATTAGATAAATTTCACAAAACCAAATAATATCTTTGGGAAAATTTAAAGTCATTTAGTTTTAAAATGTTTTGACATGTACCCTTTTTCTTCTTCAAAATTATCTTGACACACTCAAAAATCAATAGCATTCCTGTACACACACAAAAAATCTCACTGAGAGAGAAATTAGGGAAAACACACCCTTCACAATAGCATACAAAAAATATGAAATACTTAAGAATCAATCTAACAAAGGAAGTAAAAGATTTATACATTGAAAATTACAATACTCTGGAGAAGGAGATCAAAGAGGATTTCACAAGAGAAAGATATTCCTTGCTTATGGATAGGAAGAACCAACATTGTGAAAATGGCCATACTCACAAAACTATATATAGATTTAATACAATCCTGATCAAAATACCTTAGCATACTTCACAGATCTAGAGAAAACATTCCTAAAATTCATTTGGAACCAGAAAAGACCTAGAATAACAAGGCAATCCTGGGTAATAAATGCAAGGCAGGAGGCGTCACAATGTCTGACTTGAAATTATGCTAGAAAGCTACTGTGATAAAATCAGCATGGTCCTGGCAAAACAAAACAAAACAAAACAAAACAAAAACCCACAAAAAACAAAAGAAACAGACCTGCAGATCAGTGGGACAGGTTAGAAGACACAGACACAGCTACAAACACACTCAGCCACCTTATCTTTGACAAAGGGGCCAAATGTGTTCACTGGAAGAAAGATAGCTTCTTTCATAAATGGTGCTGGAAAAATTGGCTTTCCACATGCCCAAAACTAAAATTAGACCCATGTGCATTACCATAGACTAAACTTAAGTCAAAATAGATTAAAGATCCAAATATTAAAACAGAAACACTAAATGTAGTAGAAGAGAAAGTAGGTAGAAATCTTGAAGACATAGGAGTAGGTGGAGAGTTCATGAAAAAAAAAAAAAAAACTGCACAGGAAATACTTCAAAGAATCAACAACTGGGATCTCATCTTATTAAAAAGTTTTTATACATCAAAAGAAATCATCAACAGAGTGAAAAGAAAACCCACAAATTGGGGAAATATTTTAGCCAACTGTTCCTCAGAGAAAAGACTTCTATCTAGAACATGTAAAGAATTTAAAAAAAAATCAAATCAGGCCCCCAACAGTTAAAGACCCAATCCAAAAATGGGCATCTGAGATGAATACACATGTCTCAGATGAAAAAATAGAAATGGCAAATAAATGTATGAAAAAATGTTTAACAGCATGGACCATTCGAGAAATGCAAATTAAAACAACACTGAGATTGCATCTCACCCCAGAAAAAATGCCTGTCATCAAGATATCAACCAATAACAAATGCTGGAAGGCTTGTGGGGAAAAAAGAACCCTACTCCACTGTTAATGGGAGTATAAACTGGTACAACCACTGTGGAAATCAGTGTGGAGCTTCCTCAGAAAACTAGGATTAGAGGTCCTGTTTAACACAGCTATTCCACTTTTGGGTATTTTCCCAGAAGAAATGAAAACATCATATCGCAGTGATATATGTACACCCATGTTTATAGCAGCACAATTTGGAACAGCTAAATCTAAAAAACAACCCAAATGTCCCTAACCAATACATGGATAAAAAAAGATGTATTTTTATACAATGGAGTACTACTCAGCTATAAAGATAAACTTGAAACTTTTATAGGTAAATGGATGCAACTAGAGACCATACTCATAAGTGAAATAAATCAGAATCACATGTATAAACATCATATTGTCTCCCTAGTGTAAGAAACTGAAAGAGTAAATAAGATCCAAAAGGTACAGTAGGTACAGTGAAAGGGAAAGAAACTGCTCAAAAGGAAAAAACAACTGGATGGGGAAAAGAGAAAAGAAGGAAGGGGCAAAAAAAGATTTGTGTGTGTGTGTGTGTGTGTGTGTGTGTGTATACACACATACACATGATAGTTAAAATACTTGTACTCCTAATTTCTGTTAGTTCATTGAAAGGAATAGTTAGCATGCTTATATTGTTTGATCCACAATCTGGATCTGGCAGGCTTTCAGGACTTCACTTTGGGACTATCTGTAATAACACTCTATCCAAGCAACTAGATGAGAGCTCTTTACCAATGTAGGGCCTATGTAAGTCTGTCTCCTCACTGGACTGAAACTGTCCAGAGAGCAGGACCTTATTTGATTCACTTTTTTTCTTTTACCCTTTGCTTTTAGGTGTAGTGATTGCCTATGTAAGATTTTCAATAAATGCTGAATGCAGTTCAACTCAAAAGAGTACCTAGAAGAAATAAGAATAAATTAATAAAATCTCTCTAATCAGTGTATAGTTGTTACTTTGCAAAATTTTACTAAGCTCTACATATGGCCCATGTGCAAGAGACATTAATAAGGAAAAGTTTAATTTAACATTTTTGCACTTTTAAATGACAAGACAGCAGGCTACTTAATCGAGTTTTCTAGATAAAGCAAAAATTTTACACACTTTTAAGAAAAAGGTGTAAGATATTCAGACACATATGTTTAGTATTGTTTTTTTTTTTTTTTTTTTTTTTTTTTTTTTGGTTTTTCTCCGGTACCGGGAACCGAACTCACGACCTTGCGCTTGCCAGGCAGGCGCTTTTGCCGCTGAGCTAAATCCCCAGCCCTGTTTAGTATTGTTGTTGTTGTGTGAGACAGTGTCTCACTATGTGGTTCAGGCTGGCCTTGAACCCACTACAGAGCCCAAACTTGCCTTGAACTTACAAGGATCCTCTTCCATCAGCATCCCGAGTGCTGGGATTACAAGTGTGCACCACTATGCCTGGCTGGACACATATTTTCAACCTGTAATTATATCCATGGTATTTATCATCAGTTTAAAATTTAGTTACAAAGACTTTAAAATACTGTCTTTATAGAAGTAATGGAATTTGACAAGTTGCTATGACAAAAAATTCATTAGTTCCTTTTATGACAGCAGAGAATTGAGTCATAGGTAGTAAGTTTGTGTTCCATAATATAAGAAAGGATAGATTGCTATGTTTTTCATCTCAAAATATGTAGATATTCATCTGAATAGCTTACTTGGAAATTACAGAATGTCTATTGTACCATATTTAAGACTTTGCAAAACTTCACATAAATTAGATGCGTATACATAACAGTATAGGATAATAAACTACATAGAGCCAGAGTGAGTTATTGTTTTTAAATCATTGTATTCTCTCAAACTTATTTTTCTACTCAAAAATGACTCATTGCTTGCTTGCCTGCATACTGCATGCAGGGATATAAAAGAGGAATTTGTAAAAAAAAAAATAAAAGAGGAATTTGTGTTTGAACATTGCCTATCACAGTCAGGACTATCAGTTGCTTTTACAAAATAGTGTTTTAAGTAAAGAATGAAGATACCACACAGGAAATAACATAAGGTTCTAATTCTGATGCACTTTTCCTGCTAATTAACTGCACATTACCAAGAGATGTGCAGTTTCTTTTCTGAACATCGAGGAGAAAAGAAAAGTGAAAACCAAGTGATGAATAACAAATATCCAACATCATTCTAGTTTTGCTAAACCAAGATCTAATTATCTACCACATTTTTTGAGTTTACAAGCTACCTATGATTGTAAGTAAAATTAAAAGAAAAAAGAACCTAAACAAAGGAAGGGAACAATTAAAGAACAAAGTAGAGCTGCATTCCAGATAATATTTAATGCTCAAATAATGTCTTTGTGTTAAAAAAAAAAAGTGGTTCAAATTAATACTTGGTGTAAGGCAACTTGCAAGCTGTCCAGCTTAGTTTGCAAAGTGCTTGTTAAAATTATTAGACAGCAGCTTTCGCTCTCTAAGTAGAACTCCCAGGAAATATGCTTGGAGTGGGAAAATGCAAATTGGGTTATGAGGTAATTTTGTACTCTAGGGACAGATGTTTTTTCATTTTACATATTGGAAAGGTTCATTATTATTTATAAAGCAGAACAAGCCCCAAAGCCAATCCATTTCCAGCCTCATTGTCACTTTCTGCATTCCAAACCACTAAATCCCCAAAAGAGTAGGCTAATTCTTGCCTCACAGAGCTATAAAACTTGCTTGGGGTGTTACTAACTTAAGTGACAGCACTTTATTCAAAATAATTCTTATTCTCCATGACAGGCATTCCAACACCTTCTTTTGAGGTGGGCATAATTTTGATGAAAGAGAAGTAGGCTCATTTCTTACTTTTTGTGACTGAATTTTGTTTCTTTGAGCGTCTTGCTCTTATAGTAATGGAGGTTGCTAAAATACTTTGGAGTATGGGCTTAGAAGGCAGTTATACTATTTACCATATTACATCTCTAAGTTGCACTCTCAAAACTTACTTTTCAAGTGCATTTAGTCAAAGGGATTCTTAAGTAGTTCATCTAATACAAAATACTATAACATCCTATTTTGCCATGCCTAGATCTTATAGCTAATTAATATTTTTAAATGTGAAATCGGTAAAAGTTTGTTTGAAACCAAGCACCCCCCACCAAAAAATCACGCTTACTCTAGTCTGATTCTGAAGGCAGAGTGCGGGTTTAACTCAGAATGTGTCTTGTCTGTAGGTTCCAAGGTGGCCGCAGAGCCAGTGTGTGAAGCGGTGGGAGTTTTTCATCTCAGCATAAGAAACTGGCAGTCAGAGCTTCAAGGTGACGGCGATGGTCCAGCTCCCGTAGGAGAGCATTCAAGGGTGAGTGGCTGTGCCCCAGAGGCCGTGCAGGTGTCCCATGTTCCCGTCCTGAGAGTCATGACTTAGTGAGTCATCTAAATGTGACTGTCCTCTTTTCATCACTGCCTGACCCACAGAGCATTTCGAAAGGGAAACCCCTTTGTAAGTGCGGGACAGGAACACAAATTTGCAGTTCCTCTTCTGATTCGAGCCAACCCGTGCAGAGAAAACGTCTGCGAAAGCTGTCAAAATAGAAAGCTTCTGAGATGACATACATTTTCAGTTGGAAAGTAGTGAGAATTTTCAAATAGTAGGTTTCAACTCAACTCCTATTTCTGCATACTGCTTCTGTTTAAGAAAAGATTAAAGACCACTGGGGGGTATCTATAAGGGGTGATAAAATATAGTGAATGTTAAAAAATGTCTTACAGTAAAGGACACATTGCCATTAACCCCCTTCAAAATAAGCCCTTTCACTTTGAGCACACCAGTCCCATCATTCTTGCCACTTTCTGAAGCTGTTCTGGAAGCCTTCTTTCATGAATGTCTTTGGGGGTATGATAAAGATACAGTCAATGCTGCTGCTGTGTGCTATTCAACAAAAAGGCTGGCTCGTAAATCTATTATGGTATGTTCTCATACACCTTATTTACCAGATCTGGCACCATACAACTTCCGGCTCTTCCCCAAAGTCAAAGTGACCATGAAATGTCACCATTCTGAGACGATTCAGGACACTGAAGCAGCACGACAGCACAACTAAACAGTCATGAAAGGGGACTTCCAGAACTGCTTCAGAAAGTGGCTAGAACAATGAGATAAATGTGTTCCAAGTGAAGAGGACTATTTTCAGAGGGATTAATGACAATGTGTCTTTTAGTGTAATGAGTTTTAAAAATTTAGAGTCATCATACTCTTCAGGCACATTACATAATTTTGCAGTTTTTCACCGTTGGGTAATTTGGTGAAAACAGTGGGACATGTCATTACCATTCTTCTCTCCTGCTACCTTTGGTAAAATAAATACACTTAGGGAAGTTCTAAAGTAGCGGACATTTTATGAAAAAGTTTAGGACTTGGGCTGGGGACATAGCTCAGTGGCACAAGCCGTGCTTGGCAAATGTGAGGTTCTGAGTTTGATTCCTGATACCAAAAAAGCCCAAAAAATGGTCAATACCTTTTTGTTAGATGCTAACTTTAGCACTGTGAACCCTTTCTGGACTAGTTCACCCAATGTGATTTTTTCTTCTTCTGATCTAGAACATTTTTCTTTCAGTATTTAGCTATTATTAGGCTACTTTCAAAATTTAGAAACAAGTTATCATCTACCGTAGGGTGTTTGGATTTATTGTTTGTATGATGATTAATTAAATGGCATAGGTTAAAGGTTAAGAAAATTGAATGATTATTACACTTTCGTAGTCAGAGGAGTCCATACCTAGGCAGTGATTGTTCCTTTACATAGTCTCTGTCTTCTTGTGTTCCTCTGGAGAGATAAGCTTCCACTTAGAATTTACCAAAAAGTGCTAATTTTTCAATAAGGAGGTAATTTCCTGCTTCTGATAGACCCTTGTTGCTAAAGGTATACTTAGGAGTAGTATTAGTTTCTAGGGCTAATGTAACAAATTATCATAACCTAAGCAGCTTCAAACAACAGAAATGTACTTTTTTGCAGTTCTGGTGGCCAGAAGCCCAAAACCAAAGTACTGGCACATCTGTACTTGCTCTGGAGGCTTAGGGAAGAATTCTCCTTTTTCTTTTCGTATCTGTGGTGGTTCTCAGTTCTCGGTTGCCACATCACATCTGCCTCTGTTACACCAATCTTACTTCACCTTTTCTGTTTTGTTATGGGAACATTTGCCATTGAACTTGGCCCAGCTGAGTAATCTGAGATAATTCTTATCACAAGAGCCCTTTAACTATATGAGAAGATGTCTTTTTCCAAATAAAGTAATGTCTCTGGCTTCCAGGGTTTAAACATTGACATTTTTGTGGGGAGCTACTATTAAATTTGCTACAGGAATTTTCTCACAGGGAAAACAGACTGTACACACAGATACCCTGGTACTCGTTGTGGAAGTGGGAAAAGATACCAGGACCTGCATGCCTTTGTTCCCATCTTTAACAGCCGCCACTCAAAGTCAGTGGTGGAGTGAGCAAATTTCTCACGGCAGGCAATTTAATGTCCATGTAAGAGTTGCTAGGTGCTAGCCTGCCAAATACATGTTTCTAGCACCCCAATTTTGACTGGTTCCAGGGACATAGGTCTTCTTCTGCCCCATCCCCTTCTCATCACTTGTGCCCAAAGCTGTCCGCATCCACTGAATCCTTTGTCCTGTGCTGTGGGTGAGTGGAGGAAAGGATTTACTGACCTCTTAAACTGTAGCATCCTGCCCAAAGACAGAGGCGTCCAGCTTCTGTACCTATAAATTAACCTGCTGGAACCTGCTTACTACAGGGGCTCATTCCTGGCTGTGGGTGTGGCTGTAGTTTGGATCTTGAATGTCACCCAAAGGCCCTGTGTTAAATACTTGGTCTCTGGATGGCATAATTGGAAGGTGGTGGAACTTTTGAGAGGGAGAACCTTATTGGAGGTTCTTAGGTCACAGGCATGATACCGTGGGAGAGGATAGTGAGACCCCAACCCTTTCTTCTTCCTTTCTTTATTTCCTATCCTTCAGGTGAGCAGTTTCAATCTGCCACATGTTTCTACCGTAATGTTCTGCCTTGCCACATGCCCAAAGCTGTGGGGCCAAGTGATCACGGGCCGGAACTTGCAAACTGTCAACTAAAATAAACCCTTTCTCTTTATAAATGGATTATCTCAGGTATTTTGTTATGGCAATAGAAAGCTGAAACGGGTGTCTTCTGAGCAATACAGTTCTGCGAACAATTATAGATATTAGGACAGCAAATTTATAATTGTATAAAAACTTTTAAATCAGATAAATATTGCAACACAGGATCAATATGTCTGGTATCCTTGCTTAGTGATATTCTGTGGGAATGGCTAGAAATTGTCACTTTTATAGAGATGTGCTCTGTTTTGATAATGTTAGAAGGAAGATAATGACATTGGAACATCAAAATTAATGTTCATAGCGTCAACATTTACCCTCTAGTCAATATAATGTTAAATCCACTCTACCTGAAGTACAGTCAACTTCAAGGGAGAATGAATTTATGCTTCTGGTCAACAAGTGATATATTATGGGAAGTTGTATGTCTGTTGCAATCATTTACTAAACTTCTTTTTAAATTGAAGAATATAGCAAATATACAGAAAACTGTATTCGTAAGTGCACAATGCAATGAATTACCAAAAGTAAACACACCTGAGTAATCACGTCCAGGTGAAGAAAGCAACATTGCCAGACTCACTTTCTCAGGAAGGACCCTCAAGCCCTTCTCTATTACAACCATGACCTTCCTCATTGAAAGAAGCTGCTACCTTACAGGTAACTAAGTCAGTTTTGCCTGTTTTGGAATTTTTTGCTGCATATACACTTTAAGCCTTTTTAATCAAAGCATCGGGAAATTATTCCTTTTGTGATATCCCATTTCAGAAGGAGAATAATTCTTTCTTTGTAGGTATCTGTCTGGAAGATGAATAGCTTACACCATGTGTCATTGCATAAGAACTTATTTGTAATTTATGTGAAAAGTCAGCAGGAAGGGTAACATTATGACCTTGTGATCTGACACATTCCAACAAATGGAGTTATTAAAAAATAAAGATAAATGAGCACTGGAACTTTCATTTTGTGAATTGTCTGGTTCTCCTTGCTTTATTCTTCCTCACTTGATAGTATGATTTTAGCCTTTGGGATACAATAGCATTTTCTTGGTCATTTAAAATGTTTTTCTTTGTACTTGCTTGTTTCTTGTTTGTGTTCCTCCAATATAATATTTTAGTATTTAATAGTTAAGAAATAAATTACTTTAAAGCCAAAACATATAAAGAGACTTGTATTTGATGACATATTTCTAAAATTATGATTGATCTTAATTTCCATTAACACATATGAGCATTATGTTTACACAGTTCTAACGGGGGAAATCAGGTGTGAGACATCATAAGAAGAAAAAAGAAAGACCATGGAGAATGTGCAATCAGGTGTAAGGTACAATTAAGTTTCAGAAATGTTAAAATGGGTATAGGTGTTGCATCTGAGAATTCAGGAATCTTATTAATGTCTTTTGTTGATGATAAGGACAAAAAGTGACTTGATATCTTGTTTTTGTTTTTGTGCTGTTTTTTTAACCCAGGAAGTCACTCTGGAAATTTTAGTATTCATCAGCTGTCACTGAAAGTAGGTAAGTTACTTTTTCAAGATAGTGGGAACATTTGTGTGCCATGTCATTTCAGAAGTTCTGCAAAAACTCTGCTCACCCTTACGTGTATCATTGCTCTTCCTTCTTACCATTTTAAGAATTCCATATTTTGAGTTAGTCCTTTGAGTACTGTGGTATTTTTCCAAGTGTTTGGGAATGGAAACTGGCCCCCTGGTTTCTCCTCTAGCTTTCTTCTGTTCATTTGCATGTCTTAATTATATAGTTAGTTAATTGTCACTATTAAAAGCGCAGATCCTGACCTGGAGGGAAGTACAGAACCAATACCTTTTAATTTCCCATCTGTGGTCTCAGTGTACTGAGAGTAGAAAACTCCTTCAAGGTCTGAGAGTGCTTGATTAACATAGTGGGAGTTCCCTCAGTGTGGAAGAAACGCATCTAGCTGAGTAAGCTTAAATCTGGGTGTCTAAATTTAAGTACTGTCTCTTTTGCATGAGATTTAAGGGGAGATTAGTAAATTTCACTTATTTAAAGTTGCTTCACTTTGACTTACTAGCAAATGGATGCATTTAATGCGGTGCCGTTTGCCATGTACCTGGAAGTAGCTGAACTATTACTTTGTTTTTCTTTACATCAACTTTAGTGTTTGAAATGTTAGTTGAGGGAAGATTTTATATCACTTATATAATAGAAGAGCACTGTTGCTTTTCATAAATAAAAGATAGACATGAAATAAATATACCTTTAAAATAATCTCCTACTTGCGCTGCGGATATAGCCCAGTGGCACAAGTGCCTTCCTGACAAGCACAAGGTCCTGAGTTCGATTTTCAGTACCAAAAAAAAAAATCATCTCCTACTTTGAGAAATGACTTAGAAGAATGACTTTGGGATTTGGAATTGGAAGAGACTTGTCACGTCAGCTCAGCTACTTCAAAGTTTTTTGGTTTTGGAAAAATCATTTGACCTCTTTAGGTCCCTGTATTTTCATTAGAAAAAAAGAGAAAAGGCAGATGATAATAACTCCTTCTGCAAAAAGTTATCATGGAGATTAGTGTTGATACTTATAATCCTGGTATTTTTGCCTTTCTTTCCAAGTCATATTAGATAATCAGTCTTCAAAGGAAATTGGGTAATTTCTCTTATTTTTAAGATTAAAGTCAGAGCAAGTATGGCACATGGGGCTTGCCTCAAGCGTGAATGGCCATGTGTTGGTAGTGGTTCCCAAGTCCCTTTATTGAGAAGGTTACGATGACAGTGCTGTGATTGCTTACCAGTGTCTGCTCCAAGCTAGGGAGGAAGAAAGGCTGTGTGTTTGCCCCCACTTAACTCCTGTTCACTGAGCCCGCTTAGCTCATCTGTATCTTGGAAGTCACCTTGGATCTTGGATCTGTATCTTGAATCTGTATCTTGGATACAGATCATCTTGGATCTGTATCTTGGAAGTCACCTCTTGTGTGTGTACTTCCTTTGCAAAGAAGCCCCAAAGTCACCTCAAATAAAGCATACGTAAATCTCTTTCTACCCTGAAACAGTCTCCTAAAATGAACCTTCCTTAGGTTTTTCTTGTTCTGTCATCACTTTCCCACTTCCCTAAAAAAGACTCATCTTCCCGTCCAGTGAATTCTTCTTCAGAGAGAGACGATGGCGAGTCACCCTGTGACTGGGGGTAGAGCTGTCACTCTCCTTGCTCCGTGTCACAAAGTGGTAGCAGGCATGCTCACGAGGATGCTAGCATGACGAGAGAATGTATAAGGTCTGTGTGATAGTTAGTGTCAAAGTTTCCCTAGCAGCTTGCTGAATGCCAATTTAGTGGGCTCCACAAATAGTTCTAGCAATAGCAAGTGCTACCGATAGTGACATAGTCGGAAAATCGTGGTACGTGAAAGACTCTTTATGACATTTCCCTTTTTTTCTAGCTCACATTCTGAAATGAACCAATAAACAAATCATTAACACACAAGCAGAATTATTCTTCTGAGGTTTAATGCTCTGGCCTAGTAAGAAAAAAATACTGTAGAAGGAAACTTGACAAGGAATCCTTGGTAGAACTTAACTTTTAAATAGCACTTTGATGCCAATGGATTCTAAAAGCTGACATCAACATTTCTAAAACTTGTCCATGATTGTTTAATATGATAGGTTAAGTGTTGCTTCAGGGAGTTTGGATTTGTTCATTTCCAAGAAGTGAAGAGAATGCTTATTATTTCTCTTATTACTTCCCTTTAGAAACTGTATTGCTCTTATTATGCACAAACGGCTCCTTGGTAACTTTTATTACTAACAAACCCATAACCTGATTGGGCTTCTCTTGAAAGAGAGGGTATAGGGAAGTTACTCAGGATACAAATATCATGCTGATGGGATCAATTAAAATGAACTGTAGCTCAGGGAAAGGTGCTTTGTGAAGCGTTACAATATGACAGGGTGATTTAGAAATAATCGCCTATTTTATGACCACATTTCATAATCTTGCTCATCCAGATATTTGTGACAGTCATGTTATGGACCAATATAAAGCCTGTGAAGATGAACGTGATGTTAAAGAAATTGATGTTCATTGATGAGCACTTCGGCATTTCAAAGAGTTCTCAAAAAAGGTGCGTTCTTTTCTAGGTGACTGGAGGAAGAGGCCCTTTCATTCAGATGGCATCTGAAAACTTTTTTTTTCTTCTTTTGTGGTACTGGGAATTGAACCCAGGGCTTTCTTTTAGCCCCTTTTTAAATGTATTTTGAGACAGGGTCCCACTAAGTCACTAAGCTGCCCGAGCTAGGCTCAAACTCGTGTTCCTTCTCCCTCAGCCTTTCACGGTACCACTACACCAGCTTTAAAGCTTCCAAGTCTTTCTGTACTTCCTCCTTACGGCACTTGCCCTTCCCTTACTCCCTCCCCAGTAGACGTCATAGAGTCTGCAGGCAGAGACATCTGAAAATGACCAGACCCCCACACTTGACTAATGGTCACCATTAGGATACGTATGAGACTGTTCTTTCTTATCATTCATTATCTGGGCTGTAGAATTCTTGTGATAGTATTTGGAAATTTGAATATAGTAATTATATAAGAGCCTTCTAATATGGTGAAGGATTTAAATAACTCACTTTGGATTTTTCTTCCTTAACATGAGCTTTCACCCCAAGTGTCCTTTACTGAAATATTTTCAAGAGTCCCTTTTTGACTGTTGAGGAACAGAAGAACTCCTGCCTAGCTTTCCTTGCATTCCTCTGCTATCAACAGTCTGTTCTCCGGCCTCACAGTGCATCTTCTCCTCCCTCCCTTCCCCTGCTGCCTTCTCCTTTGAGCTTCATTCCATCAGCCTAGTCCCCATATTTTACTTTTTTTTTTTTCTGCTGCTCCAAGACAGAAAGACTTGTTCAAGGTCTGTGTCTTCTCTTGGGCCTACTTGAGTCTACACTCTACTGAGGCTTCACTGCCGTAAAGGTACAATCCTGAAGTCATGCTATCCAACAGAAATAAAATGCAAACTGCATATCTAATTGCATATTCTTCTAAAAACAGTTTTGATCATATAGTTGATTTAATATAGCCGTAATATTATCATTTATATATGAAATCAACTAAAAATGATTGATGGCAGTTTGGGTTCTTTCCTGGTCGTAGAAGTCTGGTGTACACTTTGTATCTGTCACACATCCCCACGTCCTCTGTGGGCGAGTCACTGTTGTACGGAACGGTGACTGCACATTCTCTTGCTCTCAAACATGCACTTGTTTATTTCATAGCTTTTTACTGAAGCCAAATTACAAATAAGTCCTTGGCACTGGAAGTCGCATTTGGTATTTCTGTGTCTTAACTGTTCGTTCCTGAGACTGCAGTATTGCCTCTTGATAGATTGGAATCATTAATTCTTCCTGTAAACTCTTCAACGCAGCACACTTACTGCCACTACAATATCTCTATGCCTGAAATTTCCTTCCTGCTTCCCATATTTATATTATGATTCAATAACCACATAATGTCTGTTTTGTTAGATTTGAACCTTAATATGTTGTATAGGATTATAAGAAATAAATGTATATTATTTATAGTGCTGTTGCACTAGAGAGAATTATTTTGAGTACAGTATTCGCCATTCAGACAAAGGCAAAATAGGATTTATAGCTGAAATTAGTGGAAAAATTGCTTTTATTGTTCATTTTTACTTTCCTAATAGAGACCTGGCTAACGACATACAAGAATGTCAGGGTTACAGGGCCCAACCATGAAGCAGAGGCTTTGAAATTGGAATATAATGGCAAAGACACAGTTTTACAAGTTGAAACCAAAGCACTAGGCTAAGAATAGCTTATAAACTAGCAGGGTTGGGAGGAAACCCTAAAGAGTTCAGAGATAGGTGAAGAGACTGAAATAGAGGACAACGATAAAAAAGTCACTACACTCTATCAGCACTGCTAAAATAGGATAAAGCAAATCCAAGCCTTACCTACTCCACAGTTTTATGAACAGAATGCTGATGTGTACTGTTTCTAGCCCTCTCATCAATTTATTTCAGTGCCAAAGTTGCCCAAACAGAAGGCTAGTATTATAATTTTAGAACTATGCCAATAAACAATAAAAGTCTATAGTTTTTCTCATCACATAAATTGTCACAGCAAAGTTACAAAAATTATTTCCATACAACCTAGTATCTACATTATCTTTGTTATGAATTTATGAGTCAGTTCTTATTAAGTATAAAATCCATTTATTTAATTTTAATGCCATCTTTTTCTATTTCCTAGTGATGAATATCCACTTTACTTCCTGATTAACGTTCTCTGCATATAAGAGCAAAATTATTTGCTCTTGAACAGAGTTGTTTGGCTTGGCTTAATTTTACTTTTTAAAATTGCCTCATTTAAAATCTTTGGTGTCTTCATATGCTACTGGATTTTGACAGCAGGGTCTTCATATCATAGTGAAAGCAAAGCTACAAGGGGCACTCACATTGCTTCAAATAAGGGCCTTGGGTGGTTGGTTTACTGTGACCTAGACAGAGAAATTCTGCCAAACTTCTGCCACTGTTGTTTTTTTTCCTTCAGAACCTATGTGTATTGCACATGTCCTGGTCAAATCTTGAGTCATGAACGCAAGCCTGGACATATGCATGCTGACCTCTTAGAGGCTGGGAGATCCTTGTCTTAACACACACTCATTATTTTAAGAACATGGTGTCTAAAATTCTAAGTCAAAAGCACCCCTCCTGTTGCTTACATATGTTGTCAGTGGGAATGGAAATATTTACAATGGAAAACTTTGTGTTTTAGTAATATATGGCTCTGAGCAGTGTGTGCAAATCTTCAGACCAGGCCAGCCAATGATGTTTATTTTTTCCTATGTTATGTTTGCTTTGATTTTATTTATTGAAAAAAAAGTATCTTAAACATAAAAATTGGAACTTGTATTTGGAACATCACTGATTTTTATTTTCTAGTCATTTATTTCTGTTATATTATTCAAAAATATTGGCTTTTTATGGGTCTTTTGTCTTAGGTAGTTTGAGAAGCAATTGTATTCTTTGGTACATAGAGTTGGCATCCTATCCTCCCTACCCTCTTGTCCAACCTTAGAGTAAATTTGTAATAGGAGGAAGGAAACACAGAGCCCTCGCCATCAAAGGGAAAAGGAAGGGAAAATTAATTAAAACCGATGCCCACCTTCATTTTTGTGCCTAAGGCTATTCCCTGCACATTTTAACAATTCTACCATTCTGTGAGCTTTTATTGAATGTACTTTATGTTCAGGGCATTGTCCTTAGTGCTAAGAGGGACAGGGGATTTTAAAAAAAAATTTTCTTCCCGATAAAGCTTTAGTTCAGTGATCTTCAAATTTGGCTGCTGTGTATCAGAATCAGATGGAAAGCTTTACAAAAACTGTAGATCTCTGGGTTCGACCTGGAAGCCTGTTGAATCAGTGTCTTTATGGGTGACATCTCTAGAGCAGTATTTTCAAAAGGTTTTCAGTGATTTTGATGCCTAAGTTAGTCTGAGTCGCACTGCTTTTTAGGCTGTGGTTACATTTGACATCTGGTAATGTAGAATTAGCAACTATTGGAATGTAAAAAATGTAGGTACCTCATAAGTGTATATTAAGTATTCTACTTTTCCACATAGTGAACACAGAAGTTGTACTAGGCAGGTTAATTAATGCTAGGTACTATACCCTAAGGAGTCCGCATAATAGAACTTCAATTCTTGCTCACCATGGACCCAGTGCAAATGTTCCTGGACACACTCTTCTGAGGGTGAGACCCTCTCAAACAGTTGAATCAGAAACCAAGCTCTTTCAGTTCAGAATCCCATCTTCCCTACTACGTGGCTTCCAAGATGACCATGTGGGGTAAGAAAGAGAGGCTCATGCCTGAGGGAGTTTGAAATACCAGGCCTATAAGAAATATGTACTCCTGCTCACACTGCCTCTTTGAAGTAATCACAGCATCTCATTTAAATGAAAGAAGGCAAGGAAATAAGATCTTCCTGTGTATCCAGGAAGGAAAGAAAATAGTTTGATGAATATATAATGTCTCTGTCGCAGATAAGTGTTGTCACTGGTAATCTTCTAAAACAGCCACGTTTTCCCCAAGATAGTACAAAATTAGTACAAAATAGCACCCCTGAAGAGAAACAGCGTAAGTAATTACAAAACTCTGTGAAGGGATTCACAGAAGATGTTCTGGTCCTACTTTTCCCTTCAAAATAATTCATGGTGTTTTGGGGGGGTCTTCTATGTAGAGTATTGTGTCATCTGCAAATAATGATAGTTTAACTTCCTTTCCTATCCTTACTCCAAAAATTCAACCAACCAACTCCTATAGTTAATAACCAAATTTAATTGCAAAGCTGGATATAAAGTCAATACTCAAAAATCAATAGCATCCCTGTACGCAAACAAGAAACCATTGAGAGACAAACTAGGGAAACCATACCCTGTACAGTAGCATCCAAAAAAATGAAATACTTAGGAATCAGTCCAACAAAGGAATTGAAAGATCTGTACCTTGAAAATTACAGTACTCTGAAAAAGGAGACCAAAGAGGATATCAGAAAATGGAAAGATATCCCTTGTTCATGGATAGGAAGGACTAACAGTGAAAATGGCCATACTCCCCGAACTGTTATGCAGATTCAGTGCAATCTTGATGAAAATACCATTAACATACCTCACAAAAAGAGACAGAGCCTTCCTAAAATTCATCTGGAAGCAGAAGAGACCTAGACTAGCAAAGGCAATCTTGGGCAATAAAGGCAAAGCAGGAGGCATTACAATCCCTGACTTCAAATTATTTTTTACTACAAAGCTGCATTACTTCAAAGAATTAACATCTGGGATCTCATCTTTAAACAGTTTTTGCACATCAAAAGAAATCACCAACATAGTGAAAAGAAAACCCATAGAACAGGGAAAAAAATTAGCCAACTGCCCCTCAGACAAAGGACTTTCATCTAGAACATATAAAGAATTGAAAAAAATCAGACCCCCCCAAGTTGAAAAATCCAATCCAAAAATGGGCATCTCAGATGAATACACACTTCTCAGATAAAGAAATACAAATGGCAAGTAAATACATGAAAAAATGTTCAGCATCATTGTTCTTTCAAAAAATGGAAATTAAAACAACCCTGAGATTCTCTTTCACCCTAGAAAGAATGGCTATCATTAAGAAATCAACCAATAACAAATGCTGGCAGGCTTGTGGGGGAAAAGAACCCTTCTCCACTGTTAATGAGAAGGTAGACTGGTACAACCACTGTGGAAATCAGTGTGGAAATTCCTCAAAAAACCAAGATTAGAGGTCCCATTCAACCCAGCTATTCCTTTTCTGGGTATTTTCCCAGAAGAATTAAAAACATCATACCACAGCAATGTATGTGCACCCACGTTTATAGCAGTATAATTTTTAATAGCTAAATTTTGGAAACAACCCAAATGCCCACTCAACCAAGGAATAGCTAACAAAGATGTATTTTTATACAATAGAGTAGTACTCAGCTATAAAGAAGGATAAACTCGGGGCTTTTATAGTTAAATGGGTGCATCTAGAGACTATACTTATATGTAAAATAAATAAGACTTGCATGTGTAAACATCATATTGTCTCCCTAGTGTAAGAAACTTAAGGAGTAAATACCAGCATTCGGGAGGCTGAGGCAAGAAGATACTTGTGATTTTGAGACCAGCTTGGGCTACAAAGTGAGCTCAAGGCCAGCCTGAACTGTATAGTGAGATGTTGCCTCAAAAAGACGATAAAAAAGTAGTAAATAAGATCCAAAATACACAATAGTACTGTGAAAGGAAAAGAAACTGCTCAAAACTAAAGAACAACCGGAATGGGAGAAGAAAAAATATGTACACATATACACAAGATAGCTAAGATAATTATACTACTAATTTCTATTAGTTCATTGCAAAGAATGATTTGTGCTTAAATTGTTTGATCAGTTTTGCATGCCTATATCTTGTAATCTGAGCAACTACTTTGAGGATAACAATATGCAATATAATAGCCATTGTTAATTTCCCATTATCTTGTTTTGAAATCCTCCATCGTTTTTTTTTTTTTTCCTTTTCACTTTAAAATAAGAAAAAACGCTATTAGGCTTTCAGGCTGTGTGTGTATTAATGTTTCAAGACAGGAAAAGGAACAGAAAAAAATTGAGAAATCGCAGAACTCTGCCCTTTTTTTGCAGAAATAGGAGGATGTTTTTATTTACTGGTTCCTTTTTCTTTTTAAAAAGCCTTCCACTAAGTTTATCTCATGTGATTTCCAGTTATTGTTTGGGAAACTCGGCAGCCATCAGGAGCACCTCTGAGGTACCCTTCAAATACATAAAGACAGTTACCATGTGTGACTTTCCTAAAACCTACACGAACTGGGCAGTCAAGGTCAGCCTGCTCTCAGCTCTTGAGGTCGAAGGCAGGCAAGCATCTGCTTCTAAGGACCTCTTCTTAGGGGAAGAACTTAGAGATAGGACAGAGAACGGGTTCACACTGCTTACTGGGAATAGTCTTCCCAAAAATTCTGCAAGGCATAGGATATCCCTCTTACAATGCAGAGGGGATTGCTGGCCAAAGAATGCAAATTTAGTGCAGAAACAAATGGCTGCAAGACAGCCTTTAAAAGCGGTGATGCTTAGTAATGACCAGGCTTCAACCACACTCTACCCTACGCTCTATCCCAATGGTTCAATAATCCTCATATTGTATTTTGATAATGATAAGTTCTGTTTAAATGAATGCTACCTGTTAAAATAGGACTTTATAATGCGCGATCTGTAATATGCAAATTGGTCTTCAAGGAAGGATTAGTGATAATACCTTGCTTGATTATTTACAGTAAGAACAACTTGAACCTGCTTTCATATGGACAGTGCTTTGCTTTCTCTTCTATTACTGTAGGAACCTTAAACATTCACCTTAGTTCTACCAGGAAAAGAATTCTAGAATCAAAACTTAGATCTCAAGGATCTTCTTGGAACTTCCTTGGCTCTCAACTCAAAGAAAGTAAGTGCAATGGGAAAAAAGGCAGTCTACTGAGGTATTAGCCATCTGACAAGGAGTGACATCAGCCCAGGCTCGGGGCAAGTGTTGCAGGAAGTATGTGCTGCAGAGGTGCAAGGCTGGTGGTGGAAGCAGCAGACCACTGCATGTGCTCCATGTGCAGCCCTAGGAGAAAAAGGGCTGGTAAGAGAAAGTAGAGCAGAAAGAAGAACAAATAGGATAATAAGGAAGTCAAGGGGAAAAGAAAATTCAACCATAAGAATTTAGAGCCAACAGGGCAAGTAATTCATGTAATAAACTCAAGTAATGCAATGAAAAGCTATCAGTAAAGTGACTCAAAACTTACAGAAGAGAATGAGTTTTCTCAGATGCCTCTTCTCACCATTTCTGGAGCTGGCATTTGTGGCACTAAGGTAATTAAATGTGACCATTTGTGTTATATGACTCAATTCTGAAGGAAATGAACTTTTTTTTTTAGCACAAAAAGCAGACAATAATAGTTTTTCATAACCTGGAAGACTGGATGTGTGGTAGGTGTTTCAGCAATGCCCTAGAACCTAGGCAGGAGATTCTGTGTCCATTCCCTGTTCTTCAGAGAGCATGGCATTTAAGAAACAGATGCAAATAAATTTATCCAAGAATACACTGTTGCCTCTGTCCCTGAGGATCCAGTGCTCTGTGCTGGCAGCACATGACACACAACTGTAAACATCTGCTTTCATGACTCACATCACTCAGGGGCCAGAGCAGTGCTTCCCACAGCTCTTACTCTATGACACTAAAACAAAAAGCAAGTGCATATGAACTCCATAAAGGTGTGTGGGTTATGTAACTGCTGAAATCAGACAGATACTGCATTATGTAGTGGGAAGTACTGGAGTGGAAGCATTTAGGGAAGTGAAAAGACAAATTAATTAACTTGTCAAGTACTTCCTCTCTGATAACATGAACACAACAGATTTTTGCATAATGAAGTAGCTTCCCAGAAGTGCCATGCTTTCTTGCTTTTCTTCATGTTCCCATTTCTTCGTGTTCCAATTTATAGTTCAGAGGTTCTTCTGAATTAAGTCCGTCTTTGAAAATGAAACTTGGTTGTTTAAGTACAGTTTGCAACATCAAGCACTTCGTACATGGATACATAGATAGGCTTAGATGTGATATGGTTAAACTGTTGGCAATTAGATGGACATAGAACATGACAAATACTTGTGTTTATTAAATGCCATGACAAATAGACATAGAATATGACAAATACTTGTGTTTATTAAATGTCCAAAATTAGAGGTTCAGTTTCATTTAAATAATCTTCAGTGTTCTTCTTTTTGGTACTGGAAATTGAACTCAGGACATTGCTCTTGCCAGGCAGGCACTTGTGCCACTGAGGTACCTACCAAGCCCCAAATTTATTTTTGATATTTAATATTTTTTTAAAAAATATGTTGGACAAGTTTGATAATATATATTTCATAAATGGAGCATTAGAAAACCTTTTTGAAAAGGTAAATGAAAAATACTTTTAAAAACTTTGGTCTTATTTTAATTCAACTTTTTATGAAGATGTTTCTAAATTTTTTAGATTTAAGTATAATTATGTTGGATTATTTAATCCTTTAGCAGATTTTTCTATTGCTACCATAACAAATTCACATAGTTTATTAGCTTAACACAACACAAATGTATTGCCTTACCATTCTGTAGGTTGTAAGCCCAAATGGATCTCACTGTGCAAAACTCCAGCACTGTACCTTTCTGGAGGGTCTCGGGAAGAATCTACTTCTGGGCATTTTTAGCTTCTGGAGATTCCAGAAGTCTTGGCTCACAGCATCCTTCACCATCTCCAAAGCCAGAAACAACAGGGCACGTCTGCACGTTACATCGTTCTGACTCCTCACCTGTTACCTCATATCTCTGAATGCAGCTGGTATCCACTACATGCATTCATGATTAGATTGTTCCCCCTGGAACAATATAGGATGATCGGCCCCATCTCAAGATCCTGAATCACATCTGCAAATTCTCTTTAGCCACATTATGGGGTCCAAAGTTTAGGACATAGAGACCTTTCCTAGGTTATTAATCTATTTTAATCATTGAGAATAGGTACAAGCCAATATTATAATGGCAATAGAATATATGAATGTGAACTTCAAAAAGGGCAAAAAATATGCAGAGGAAGGGCCGGGCATGGTGGCGCACGCCTGTAATCCCAGCACTCGGGAGGCTGAGGCGGGAGGATTGTTGAGAGTTCAAGACCAGCCTGGATTAGAAAGTGAGCTCAAGGCCAGCCTGAACTGCGTAGTGAGACACTGTCTCAAAAAGAAAAAGAAAAAAAAAAGATTGGCCTCAAGCTTAGAACAGACCACAGCGATAGCCAGTTTTCCTTCTCCCCATCCACAATTCATAGGTTCTGTCCAGCATCAAATTTGGACTCCAACGAAGGTAACTCTGCGAGAAGGGAGTAAGAGCTGAATGGAATAAAGGAACTTCAGAGGAAGTAAAAAGACGCAAGAGAGAAGGTTCCCAGCAGAACTCTATTCTTAGAATGGTGGCCACAGGGTACGCAAGCCCCAAGAGTCAGGAAAAACATGAAAGAAATCAGAGAAACAAGCTCACTCATTGCTGCTTTGTGAATTCTCTGTTGGTTAGGAAATATCACCCTCCAGAAATACCACACCACCTGAAGCACTGTCCCTGATTCTAAGAAGGTGCATGGTAATGCCATCTTGTTTTAGACCGTACCCACCACGCTGCAAAATAAAAGGGAGAAGTGGTGGGTTCATACTTCAAATTGTCTACCTCACAGAACACAAAGGAAGTGGAAAGCTAAGCAAAGAGAACAGCAGAGAATCTTACTAATCATCTGTGTCTACAGAATGTTAGGATTCATTATCAAAGTAGAATATTTACGTTTATGCACTCAGTTAATAATTTACTTATAGTGAAACATTAGTCATTCTCAAGAAAGTCACTTTATTACAAATTTCAAAAAAGAACCATAAAAGGATACTTATCATAACAAAAATAGCCACATATGGATGGGACTGCAATCACAGGTATATACTAAATAAACGCCCCAGACAAAGGTAGCTAATCTTTAATTTTACTGCTCACTGAAAAAAAGTAACCAAAGTATGTTCAAGTTGCTTGATCATTTTTATTGGGTTATTTTCTTTTTATTCAATTATAAAAGCTTCTTAGCTATTCTCAATAGAAAGTCTTTTGGGTAGGCATTTTGCAAATATTTTCTTCCAAACTATGATTTATCTTTTCCTTCTCTTGATAGTATCTTTCAAAGAACAAAAGAAAAATTTAATTCTTATGAAGTCTAGTTTACAGTACTTTTCTTTTATGGTTAGTGGGAATTGTTTCACCTTTGAAATCCTTCCTTACCTCAGGTTAAAAATATTAATTCATATTATTTTCTTTTAGAAGTTTTATATTTTTAAGTTTTAAATTTAGGTTTCTTGTGGGAAGACAGACTGGTGAAACTACTGTTGAAATCAGTTTGAGATTCTTCAGCAAACTAGGTCTAGAGGTCCCATTCAACCCAGCTATTCCGCTTCTGGGTATTTTCCCAGAAGATCTGAAAACATCATATCACAGCGATATATGTGCACCCATGTTCATAGCAGCGCAATTTGTAATAGCTAAATTGTGGAAGCAACGCAGATGTCCATCCACTGAGGAATGGATAAAAAAATTGTGGTACTTTTATATAATGGAATTTTACTCAGCTATAAAGAAAGATAAACTCAAGGCTTTTACAGGTAAATGGTCACAACTAGAGACCATACTCATAAGTAAAATAAACCAGACCTCCATATGTAAGCAACATATTGTCTCACTAGTGTAAGAACCTGAAAGAGTGAATAAAAATTAGGAGGTATGACAGACATTGTGAAATGAAAGGAAAATGCTCAAAAGTAAAGAGGAACTGGGATGAGTGAAAAGAGAAAAGAGAGAAGGAGAAATTATGTATGTAAGTATATACAGGATAGCTACCATAGTTGTACTATTGACTTCCATTGCTTTACTGAAAGGAACAGTTAATGATTAATTATTTGATCCATCTTGCATGTCTTTATTTGTTTTCCTGAGAAATCACTTTGAAGATATCAATACGTAATACAAGAACCATTGTTAATTTCCTACCACTTTGTCTGTAATTCAGTATTGCCTGTATTGTTCTTATGCTATTTTGTAAATGGATGTCTATTTGTTAATGTGTTTTCCTTTTATTTTTAAAATAAATTTTAAAAATGAATTTAGGTCTCATCCATTTTAGATGGCTAATAAGCACATTTAAAAAGATGTATACCATCATTAATTATTAGGAAATTCATATTAAAACCATAAAGAAATACCCTCTGTATGTGTGTGACTATGTGTCCGTGTCCATTATGTGTGTATAACATATGCCTTAGAATGGGTGGAGGATGACTGGAACCTTGTATCATGCTGGTGGAAATTCAGATGGGTGCATTCACTTGGGGAAACATTCGGGAGGCAGATGTAGTGATGTGGACTCTTCAGATGGAAGACTCTCCAGGAAAAAAAATTGATTCCTTTCCCTGCCTGCTCCATTAGGAGAAATGAGGACAAGTGCAAAATATACCCAAAGGGAACTTGTCTCTATCCTTTTAGAATATTCCTATGATAAAATAATAGTGGCTCTTTATCATCAGCTATCTAGCGATGAAATTTTATTGCTCTTTATTGCTTTCCTCATTATTCTTCCCTCTTTATTGCTTTTTTCCTATTAAACAATTATCACATGTGTATAGGCTCAGTGTAAAGATTTAAACAACACAAAGGTAATAAAACACATATTGAAAGTATACACCCCTCCATCCTTACCCTGTCTAACTTCCACCTCCTCTCAGGAATAATTCATTGTATTTCCTAAGTGTTCTTAGAGCTCTTGTTCAGTATTTTAAATATATTTACATACATATAGGTATATAGAAATTTAGACCCATGTAGTTTTTTAACGTAAGTGGAATTGTGTTGTAGATAGTATTTGGTGACTAGCTTTCCAACCAGAGTACATGTCTTGGAGATGATGTATGTAAGATGAGGCACGGGAAGAACTTATTAGCTCCCTCTATTCTCCCCAGCCCTGTACCCACCATGTTCCCGAAATGAAAGGGAGAGATAGTGGGTTCATACTGTAAATTTTCTAGCTTACAAAACACAAGGGAAGTGGAAAGCGAAACAAAGGAAAGAGCAGAGACTTTTACTAATCTTTCTCCACAGAATGTTTGTTAAGATTCCTTGTCAAAGTAGTGTTTCTAATTAGGTATACTTTACGTGTTTATATTATCAAAATAATTATTATCGTGGGACTATTCTAAGAGGATGCACACAAGTTCCCTTTTGAGCTATGTTTTGTACTTTTCCTGTTTCTCATAGTGGAGAGGACAGGGAAAGGAATCAGTTGTTTTTTCTGTGAGTGTCTTCCATCTTAAGAGTCAACATCAGTACAGCTGCTTCCTGAATGTTTTCCCAAGTAATCGCACCAGTTTGCAGTTCTGCCATACCATCCATCCATCTATATCTATTATCTATCTATTTATCTATCTATCATCTATCTATCTATCTTGCTATTTATCTATCATCTATCCATCTATTTATAATTTTTAAATAAAATTTGCAGAGTTTTCCAAAATATGGATAGGCTTTTACTTAGAATAACTCCTATAACTTATTTACCGATACTACTCCCCTTTTGATAGGCACTTAGTTTTCTAAATTTTCATAATTAAAAACTATGCAGCTGTTAACATACATATATCCTTGTGTATCTTTTTGAAATATGTATTCATATTTCTTTAGTATGGATTTCTAGCAGTGGAATTGCAAAGGAGTCAGAGGGTGCAAATATTTTTTTTTCAAAAGTACACTTATAATTTAGTAACTTACCAAAATATACAAATATTTTGTTTATTTTTGCATCAACATAGTAAAAGTGTATCTGTTTTGCTACATCCTTACCCTCACTAGTTATAACCAATAGTTTTATTTAATGTCAATCTCATGGATGCATGTTAAGATCACATTCTTGTTTTAGCTTATAATTTTCCAATTGCCATTGAAGTTGAACATGAGTCATTGGATTTTTTTCTTTTGTGAATTATCTGTTCATATATTACCTGGTTTTCTGCTCTTGAGCTGTTATCTTATTGATTACATGAGTTCTTCATATATTGATCTATCTTTATGTTTCATTTATCTTTTATATATCTAACAAATATTTTCTCCAAATTAACAATTGATTTTTTCTTTGTTTATGGTATCTTTCATTCTACATGTATTTTTTTGTTTATTTTTCTTCTACTTTAATCTTTAATTGTGTGCATCTTAATCATGCACAAGTTAATTTAATATCCTTAAACCAAATTCCACACATACATTTCATTTGCATTCTTAGTAGCTCCCTGAGAACGTTAAAAAAGAAAAGGAGCAACTTTGTTTAACCTTTTATAGGTGATAATCATTGCAGACTTTCAAATAATTATTGTAAAGGAATGCTACAGGTTGCTAATTTAAAGATGTTTCTTAGGTCAGAGCATTCATTTATAAACATATTAGGATTAATAGAGGGAGTGGATAGCCCTGGGTAGATGCATAGCTACAAGTAGTGCAAGGGAGTCCATCTGTGATAGTAAACTCTGTAACTGACAAATGCCTGAGATAATCAACTTCAGAACAGGAAAGGATCTAGGTGTGATGGCACACACCTATAACCCCAGCACTCAGGAGGCTCATGCAGGGAGATTGCCTTGAGTTTGAACCCCCCCTGGGCTACACAGTGAGACCCTGTCTCAAAAAACAAACGAGAAAAACCAGGGGCAAATGCACTTGGGGTCTCTTCTGTCTCTTTCTCAAATAGAAGTTTTCTTTCCCCAGTAAATATATTCTGCTCTTAACCACCATTGTTCTACTGTAAATAAATAAATAAATAAATAAATAAATACGTAAATAACAGGAAAGTTTATTTTGGGTCGTGATTTCGAGATGTCAGCTGGTGGTGGCTTGGTCCTCTCACGTTGCGCCTGTGGCAGCACGGTGCAGCACGGTGGGAGTGCATGGCTGTGGAGGCCTGTTCACCTCATGGCAGCCGGGAAGCAAAGACAGAGACAGAAAGGGGTGAGGATCTCAGAATTCCCTTCTAGTCACCTGCTCAGTAACCCACCTTCCTTCCACGAGGTCCTGCCTCTTAGAGGTCCCATAAACTCCCAGTGGTGTCACAGGCTGGCAACTCAGCCTGTAATTCATCAGTCTTTAGGGAGCACTTTCACACCACAGCAGGTATGTAGTTTCCCAAGCTCATCAAGATATGTGATTGAAGGCAAATCAGGAGGAACATTAGCTTGGGACCATCTGAGATGAGATGACTATTATGATTTGAATAAAAAATGTCCCCCAAAGGCTCACTGTACTGAAGGCTTGGTTGCCAGGCAATGGGGTTTTGTGAAGTGACTGGAGCCAAGGGCTCAGACATCATCAGAGGGACTTACCCTTGGATGAGTTCATAACTTAATGCTTTATTAGGAGGTGGAGTGGGTGAGGTGAGTCACTGGGAGTGTGAGGGTGTGGCTCTCAAGGGGATATTTTTCTGCAGCTTGCTCCCCCTTTCCTCCTCTCCTCTCCTCTCCTCTCCTCACACTTCCTCTCCCCTCCCCTCCCCTTCCCCTCCTCTCCGCTCATCTCCTCTCTTCTCCTCTCCTCCCCTCTGTTCTTCTCGCCTCTCCTCTTTCTTCCCCCACTTTTGACCCTCTTCTTGGCTGTCATGAGGGAATCAGTTTTGCTCCACTGTGCCATCCGTGCGGTACCTTCTGCCTCACCACAGGGAGGCGGTGGAGCCTGCTGACCATGATTAAAACTTCTGAAACCATAAACCAAACTTTTCTTCCTTTGAAGTGATTTTTCCCTGCTATATTGCCACAGTGATGGAAAGCTAACATATTGGAACTATGGAAAGAGTTGAGCCCAATACAGTGATGGGCAATCCAGAGGCAAGTAGTAATGACAAGACCAGACAAGCAGGTAGATGGGGAGCAGGTAGCTATTATCAGTGAAGATGTCCCCCAGGGGTTGGTGTGAGGCTAAGGGTAGTCACTTGGGTAGGAAGAGCAGGAACTGAGTTTTCTACCAGTGCTTCTCAGAGGGTAATGTGTGTTTCAAGCCACCTGGGAATCCTGTAAAAATGCAGATTATGAGTCAGTGAGTCTGCAGTGAGGTTTAAGGCTCTACATTCCTAATATGCTCCCAGCTGGTGCCGATGCAGTTTATCCCTGAGCCACACTCTGAGTAGCAGGGCTTGAGAAACCTTGCGCCTTCAGGCACAGACGGTGCTACTTATCAGAGCTACAACACACAGGGTAAGAATTTGAAGAGTAATACGATACAAAAGTCAGAGCACGAGGCAGCTGCTAGTTCCCTCCAGCTATGCTCAAGATACCTTTGTAGGACGGGAGTGGGGGGTGGTGGTGGGGGTAGTAGGGCGGAGCCTGTGGGTGGAGCCCAACAGAAGGCTGGAGGGGTTGGGAGGGGTTACACCACAGAGGCTGGGAGCGAGGCAGGGGCAGAGTTGGATTTGCACATTAGCAGAGTCCTAGCAGCAATAAACTGATAATGTCTGTGTTCTCAGCACCCTGAAGCCCTTTCACACATTGCTGCTCCCATTACTGGGCCCTTTGCTGCCATCTCTACCTTTCCCTTCAGCTGTCCACAATTTGTTGTTTTTTTTTTGTTGTTGTTGTTGTTTTTTGGTTTTTCTCTGATACCGGGAACCGAACTCACGACCTTGTGCTTGCCAGGCAGGCGCTTTTGCCGCTGAGCTAAATCCCCAGCCCCTAATTTGGCCTTCTTATCTCCACCGGAAGTTGCCTGGTGGAAGTAAAATGTGCTGGGAAGGAAACCTGCTCATTTGTGCACTTGTTGTCAAGGCTGGAGGGGAGGACATTGAATAGAGTTTTAAGGAAAAGATTTGCAAACTGCCCCCTGCCCCGTAGCTCTTATGTCAGCTAAAAGACCTAAGTCCCACCTGCAACTTGGGCTTCCGCTTCTCAATTAGAAAAAACTCAGTGCTTTAAAGTAATAATTATTATAGTTATTATTATGATTATTACTATAGACAAAAATAATGAAGATGATACAAAGATGATTCTTGGTACAAAATTGTTTTCCATATCACAGCACACAAAATAGATCACTATTAAGCTTTTTCCAATATAAGAAAGATTAAAATCTACAGAATTTGTATTATTTTCTTAGGAAAATGATCATTCTACAGGCCATTGGAAGGGTTCCATGGCTACAGAGACTTAAGGATCATGCATTCTGAGGATTGCTGCTCTCAGGGAACTTACATGCTGAGAAACCTTAAATCTCCTTGGAAAATCCACCCTCCAATCCTACTTTAATCAAAGTAGCTCCACTTTACTGTTTCCTGTATCAGGCTACTGTACATTGGGCTGGAAGAAAGGGTTCTAGGGTAAAGTAGAATTTAAGAACCGCTAATTCAGTCAAACTTTTGGGGAATGGGGTATAGCTCAGTAGTAGTGTATGCTTTGTGCACATGGATGGCTTGAGTTTGATCCCCAGCACTGGAAGGAAAGTAATCCATCATGCAGGGTTACATTTCTGAGTATGATCTCTGATTTGACTTATTCACACTGTACTATCACCCATCATAATAGATAATAGGAACTATTTAAATTTATAGAGAGATATTCTCAAATTCCTTCACAAAGTAAAACTTATGCTACAAATTATTTGGAACAAAAACTGGCTCACAAATTCTGAGAGTAGTATAATTGGGAATAATATATAAACACTAACGAAGCACCCTAAAAGGGAAGAGTCTCGGGTATTCTGACAGGTCATGCATTTGTATATAACACTCCTGACTTTGAAGTCTCTTTTTTGTAACCATAAATCAGTGTCCAGGAGTATGGAGCAGTTCTCTAATAAGAATGAGATGCTATAGACAGTGGTGCTAAAGGAAACACAGGAGGTAATGACACAGACTTTCAAGTCTGGTTGTTCATTCGAAGAGGACAACAGTAGACCATACACTAGAACAGTGGGAGGTACTGAATATTTTCCAGACTTGTGTAATCAGTCATACTATCAAACAAAGGCTAGTTTCTAATGATCAAAGTATGGCATAGCAAAGAAACAACCTAAATAACAAATTTCAGCAGAATATTAGTAGCAGCTCATCAAGCTTTCTGAGGTTATATTTTCAAGTTATAATTTATCCCACAAAAAGACTTGCCTCCTTGGTAGCCTCCAGGGTACAAAGTGATCAAGCTCAGCTTCAGCGGCAGCAGGTGAGGCCCTCACTCTCAGAATCATGACAGCACTCCTCAGATGTTTTATGAAACAATAATTAACTTCATTATGGGGATACTGAGTCTATACTTCTATCCAGCATCCTTTCAAGTCCTGGCTTTGTCTGGGTTGAAGGAAAGGATGTAAAGAATGACATTTGTCATTGGTAGCTATGAACTCATGGGCTGGCACTGTCTCTGTCGCCATGTGACTACAGGGTGCAAATATTGTGGTTTTATCTCCAAATGGTGACCAAGCCCATTAACCTCCCAGAAGGATCCCCTGCACCGTGTACCCTGGGTCTCCTATTGAGGAAACGTGTAAGGGGGGATTCAAAAGCCCTTTAGGAGGAAAAGGAAACTTCTGCTCTCCTCCCTTTGTAATATCTTGCAATAAAGCAAAGGCTCATATAGAATGGAACAGCCAGATTCTTGTTTTGGGGACTTATCTTAAATGTTAGTTCCTCAAAGAGGATACCCTTGATTGAAATTAAGTCCCCATACTGCTGTACTTTTAGCCATATAATCTTGTTCTTTCCTGTTCTGGGTTGTTAAAAAAGATAAGTTCAAGTCCCAATCCCAGGTATTATGAATGTGACCTTATTTGGAAATGAGGTCTTTGCAGAAGTTTCAAATTGCAAGGAGATTCTGCTGAATTAGGCCTGGAACCTGGGCTCCCTCTGAGCCCCCAGGATGCACACCACCCTGCAAAACCTTGTTCTCTAGTTTGTGGCCTCAAAACTGTAAGGGAATAAATTTGTGTTATTTTAAGCCACTAGTTTGTAGCATTGTGTTATGGAAACTAGGAAATAAACACATTTCCCTTCTCAACACTTATAATAATTTATTTTGGCTTGATTTGGTGATTATTTGATTCATAGCTCTCTCCCCATCAAATCATAAGCTTGAAGAGCCCTGGATCTAGTCTCTCCTTACCATTTTTCACTCTTTACCAACATAATGCCAGGCCCATGGTCGCTGAATAAGTATGTGTTGAGAGATTAAATGTGCTTACCAGGAGAATACTGAACCTGCAAGTCCAAGTTCAAGGTCCCTAATAGCTTCAGCTGCAAGGGACCAATCTCATTTCAGTCTTCTTTTTTTGTTTGTTTGTTTGTTTGTTTGTTTTTGGTTTTTTTTTTCCGGTACCGGGAACCGAACTCACGACCTTGCGCTTGCCAGGCAGGCGCTTTGCCGCTGAGCTAAATCCCCAGCCCCTCATTTCAGTCTTCTATTACATGTTTCCTAGGCATGTGTCATTTGTATCTTCTTCCCACCCCCAAGTTTGTTTGAAAGTAGAAGCCTTTTTTCAACATCTTTATACTATCTAAGATTATTACAGGCAGCTAAATCAGATAAAAATTAATATGTTGTCAGGGAGGGACTGGGTTCTCAAGGAAGTCAGTGAAAAATAAAGACAACAGAATTATGGCTAGAGGCACATCTGAAGAAGGCCGGGCCTCAAGACAGAGATGCAGTGGCCAGGCCTACAGAGCTCCCTGAGGCATGAACAGGAAGTTGGAATTGCTCTGTAATTAGCACCCTTTGGTTCAGTATGTCCAGGTAGGTGACCAGAACATCTGGACCCATCCCTTCCCGTAAATGCCTTTCTTCTTTCTGTGTGCTACATGACTCATTTCCCTATTGGACCAGTATTAGCTAAGCAGCTATTCTTATAATCCTATAGGTTAATTATAGATTTACCTACATTATACCTACATTATGACTTTGCTGTATAACTTACCCCTGCCAAAGAGCCTCGGCGGCAAACCACTTTCAGGACCCCTCCTGTATCTCAGGAGCTATCTTGCTGTTAACTTTTCCTATTCTTAACCTCTGTTGTTCCTTGGAATTTATTCTTCAATTTTGGAAAGACACAAACTCAGCACATCTGACATCTACCAGACCAGGAGTTATATTTCTTCTATATCAAGATGATATTTTACGTATAATAGAGGTTCAATAAACATTTTTGAATAAGCAACGAACGCAATTTCTAGGTTTCCTAAGATGTAACAGCTGGGTTGAAGCTATTTACCACATTATTTAATGATAAAACCACAGTTAATTATGGAGTCCTGTGTAGAAATGCTTGTAGTTGGTTATTTTTTATTAAATACACAATTTGTGGTAAGAATTTGTTTTGCTTCCCGACACACAGACTGTGGAACTCCTCAGAAACAAACTGCTGCCCCTGAGCTAGTGCTTTACGGAAGCATTTTTAATCTTTGAGGTTTTTCTGTAGCTAAGCAATGTTTTTTCAAATGGAATAACACTGATATGCAGACATATTTATTGTCCATTCACAAAGCCATTCCTCAATATGATTACAGTACGCCTTCCTGAATGTCATTAAGAAACCGAGGTCTCATTTTTCTAGGATCGGCTGGCTGAAGTTCTGCGTGAAAGCAAGTAATGGAAAATAGGATTTCTTAAGCCCCCTTTGGCCTTTTGATTCTGAGCTACAACCTTGCTGTTCTACTTTCAAAGTCAAGGAACACTTCTAGCAAAACCATGACATTTCTTGGGTAACTTATTTTGTTCTTAATACATATTTCCAAGAGTTTAAGAAATATTAGTGGCAAAATAATGAGTCTTTGGTGTATGCTTATCTTTTGCTTTGCTATGAGAGAAGATACATTCAGACTATTTTAAATAAAACTTAATTGAAGGTCATGGAGCAATCCTAAAACCCTTAAAATTCAAATATTTGGTAACTGCATATACAGCACGTGCCTTCTAGAAAGGGTTATTATTTTAAAAGATAAATTACACCTCACTGAGGAATTTCAAGTATCATCTGAATATCTGAAATGCTCCCAAGTTTGCAGAAAGCTCTCATTGAAACTGCGACCTTGTATAGACAAAGGCCTATGGAGGTGCAATTTTAAAACTACCACTTTTTTCATTTCCCCATGGGGTCTACAACAATGGAAATACATCAAAGCTGATAAATGGATTGTGCTTTTCCTGCCTCGCTTGCCTTTCATTTGTTCGTATTTCAAGCTTCAATGAAATGACAGATTTTATGCTTTTTCTCATTGTCCTTTGATGGGTTTCCTTGGTTTCTCCTTTTCCTAGGGAATCTTTGTCTCATTGGTGGAAAATTGACATTGCATCTTGGTATTTGAATTTCATATTAAACTGAAGACTTTAATGAAGTGGCTACAAGGTCATTAATTACCATTTTTAACAATGAGATAATTATTAATGTATCATTTTGGTGCATCAGCAGTTATTAAACCCTTCCTCCATGAGTGGATATTGGTTCATTTAAAAATATTGCTATTTGAAATAATGGTTTAATTAATGATTTTGTACATACAAGTTTTTTCTGCTTTTTCCTAGAAAGTATAATTACCCAGAAGGACAATTACTTAGCATATAATATTAATAAGAAAAATTAATTTTAAGTGAATTATCTCTTACCATAGTAAAAAGTTTGTACAACTATGCATCGTTTAAAAACAGGGATACATCTGAGAAAAGCATCATTAGGTGATTTCATCATGAAAATATCATAGAGTATATGTACACAAATATAAGTGGTACATTCTACTGCATACTGAGCCGTGTATGGGATAGATACCTGGGACAGCCCCCTGTCCCTAGGGCCACAAGGAACAACATAAGATTAAATCAAGCAGAAGAGTAACTGGAGTAATCAAGAGACACAGTAAACATAATATGCTGGATGTTGCTGCCAGTAAAAGACATAAATGTTTCTTTATAAATTTTTTAATAAGTTGCATGAGCACATTCTAACATAAAAAGTATAGTATGTCTGGTCATGATGGTACACATCTATAACTCTGGGAATGAAGCAAAAGGATTGCAATTTCAAGGCCAGCCTAGGGAAGCTAGCAATTTAGCAAGATCCTGTCTCAAAAAATTTTTTAGAAACTAGGGATATAGCTCAGTGTGAAGGCCTTGAGTTCAACCTCCAGTACCAATAAAAAAAAAAAAACCAAGGTATAGTATAGTATAGTATAGTATATTAAACACATAAAGCAGAGCATAATCATTTGCTATCATGAGCAAATATTATGTTCTGTACATAATTTTATAAGGTATATTTTATATAATCCTCAGCACAGTAGGTTTCTTTACCCCAACATTACCAGAATAACATAAGAAATGTATTTTGTTACATTACAAAGCTATAATATCACTAGGGAATAGAAAATTATCAGCTCCATTATAATCCTATGGGACCACTGTCATATATGTGGCCCTGTGTTAATGTAAAAGACATTATGTAGCACATGACTGTGTTTGGATTTAAAGACCACTTAGTGGTTTTATCTTCACCTAGCTTTTATAGATCCTGCAATAGTTTGGATCTGCAATGTCTTGTAAATATGCGTTTTATAGGTTTGGTCACCAGCCTACCGTACTATTGGGAGGTGGTGGAACATTTAGCAGGTGGGACCTAGTAGAAGAAAGTTGGGTCCTCGATCGCTTATTCCACCCCCAACCCCCGCCATGCTGCCATGCGGTGAACAGGCCTCCTCTGCTGCACAATTTCACTATGGCACCTCAGGCCCAAAACAAGTTAGCCAAACGACCACAGAAAAAAACCGTGAGCCAAAGTAGACCCTTCATCCTGTTCTCTCACGTATCTGCCACAGTGATGAATGCTAACACAGATCCTATTTGTAACTAGCTGAGGGACTGCTTAAATCAGCTGAGTTCACCAAGTTCTTAACTCCTTTTATTCCGCAGGACTGGATAGTGTGTTCCAGCTCCGCAAACTTCTGCACCAACCATGGTACTCGCAAAGGGAATTCACATAAGGCTTCTCATTATTATGTACAGAAAGTCACTCTCCTTTAAATATCCTCAGACAGATAGTGACCAGAGATCAATCTTGATAATTAATAGAAGTACAACACATGCTGGAAGTACCACTGAGAGACCAGGATCACCTGATAATGGATAATATTAATGGGGGGTAATGATAGAGCATATGAGAGCATTCAGTTACTTGGTGTCTTCTTAGCCAAAGAATCAGTGAGATAAGTCAGCTGGGAGTTGTCATTTGTAAGGAAGATGATGGTTTTGAAAGGGGCTATCCTGATGGATTTCTTAATGGCTGAAAGCAAAATAGGCTCAAGGTACACTCTTCTTTTTTTTTGGTTTTGGTTTTTCTCCAGTACCAGGAACCGAACTCACGACCTTGTGCTTGCCAGGCAGGCGCTTTTGCCGCTGAGCTAAATCCCCAGCCCCTATCAAGGTACACTCTTCAATAGGCTACACCTATTATCTAGATGTGGGGTCCACAATTAAATAATAACACAAGAATAATGAAGAGTAAAAATGGAGGAGCACTAGTGATAATATTACATAAGCAGGAGAAAAAGTAAATATTAAATAAGTTTTGCAGAACACTAATATTTATACCAAATGCAATGGCACTGTTGTATAAGGAAGTGCTCTGGTCCTGTCCCGTTCCCTTCCTATTATTTGGTCCTGGGATCTTCACGTTCAGTTACTGTCACAAGCTATAGGGCACCTGGAAAGCTGAAGTAGATGAAGATATTCAGATCCTAATGAATATTCCAGTAGTATTAAATACTGTGTAATATAAAATAAAGACAAATATTCATATCCTCTCCCAGGTAAACTTTCATGAAGACCTTATTACAGGAAAAGGAATGTAGAAGTAATGAGAAAGGTAGAAAGTTTAGGAGACTGGGCAAGAAAATATGTGACATCATCTGGAAAAGCTCTATATAAATTACTTGTGTTCACCCAAGGCTAAAATCCAGCTTATCCCTTCACTGTCCTCTGACATCATGAAAGTCAACAACACCTTTAAAGAATCTTTAAGCCAGTCTTTAGCCCTCTCCCTCTCCCTCTCCCTCTGTCTCCTCTATGCCATCTTGTGATACTAAACCCTTGGCATTTCCTGCAGGTACTTTCTCCATGTGGCTTACTGGTAATTGTCATATGAAGTGTTGCACTTATAATATTTCAAGTGCATGCCAGATGTCTCAAATCAACTACAAAATTTATGGTGTGCATTTGGCAATTATGTTTTTTAGAAGTATTAGTTGGATTTTTGACAGTTAAACTCCCTAATTTCTCTAACAGTGCTACTTATACTTTTTTTTTTTTCAGTACTGGGAACCAAACTCACAACCCTTGCTTGCCAGGCAGGCGCTGTGCCGCTGAGCTAAATCCCCAGCCCCTTATACTTTTGTATATTAAGGAATCTTTCTCTATCAAAGATAGCATGACCTAGACCAGAAAACAATTTGACCTCAAAAATATGGGTGTAGAATAGCCACAGTAGTATTTGGAACACTCACAGGGAATGGCCAATATGTACCTGTTCTTAAATGTATTAAGATATCATTTATAATGAAGAATCAAGTGCTTTCACTGCCATGAATTATTTGTCTTTTTTTAAAGAATGGGAAGATAAACAATAAAAACAATGGTATGAAATTTCAAAACAAGATTGTAGGAGAGTAAAAATGGTTATTATATTGCATATTATTATCATCAAAATAGTTGCTTATGTTACAAGATATAGGCGTGAAAAATTGATCAAACAATACAGGCATAAACCTTTCCTATATATATATATTTTTTTTTTTCCTTTTCCCTTCCTTCTTATCTCCTTTCCAGTATTTTACTTGCTCTTTCCTTTTGAGCAGTTTCATCCCATTTCACAATATCTATTGTACATTTTGGGTCTTATTTACTCTTTCAGTTTCTTACGCTAGGGAGACAACATGATGTTTACACATGCGAGACTGATTTATTGCACTTATGAGTATGGTCTCAAGTTGTATCCATTTACCTATAAAAGCCTCAAGTTCATCTTTATAGCTGAGTAGTACCCCACTGTATAAAAATATCACATCTTTTTTGTCCATTCCTTGGTTGATGGCATTTGTGTTGTTTCCAAGATTTAGCTATTACAAATTTTGCTGCTATAAACATGGGTGCACCTATATTGCTGTGGTATGATGTTTTTAATTCTTCTGAGAAAATAACCAGAAAGGGACTAACTGGGTCAAATGGATCCTCTAATTCCAGTTTTTTGGAGAATGTACACTAATTTCCATCGTGGTTGCTCCAGTCTATGCTCTCATTAACAGTAGAGAAGTGTTTCTTTTTCACCACAGCCCCACCAGTGTTTGTTACTGGTTGATTTCTTGGTGCTAGCCATTGTTTCTGGTGTGAGATGGAATCTCAGTGTTGCTTTAATTTTCTTATCTCAAATGACCAGTGATGGTGAACATTTTTTTGAATATCTATTTGACATTTTTATTTCTTCATTTGAGAAGTATGTGTTCATCTCAAATGCCCATTTTTGGATTGGGTCTTTGAACGTGGGAGGCCTGATTATTTTCAATTCTTTATACCTTCTAGAGAGAAGTCTTTGGTCTGAAGGACAGTTAGCTAGAAATTTTTCTCACTCTGTGTGTTGTCTTTTCACTCTGTTGGTGATTTCTTTTATGTGCAAAAGCTTTTTAATAAGATGAGATCCCAGTTGTTGATTGTATGAAGTGTA